TTATAAAATCTTGCGGTGGTCATTTTGACGAAAAACGGCTTTTTCGATTTTTTTCAGTGATCCACAAAATTATCGGAAAAATATCATAATATATTATTATTTTGACAGTATTTCATGTATTTTTTCCTGAAAATCGGTATAAAACTAGGGGGTAGACACAATAGAGAATGAATGAATACCAATGAATTGTCATAATACCTATCTATTTTCAAATACTACAATTACTTACTTATTTAAAGATTACTTGTACTAAAAATGTGAATACCGTGATTACCAAATGTCAAATTGATATCGGTAATAAAGATTTCAAGTTTTTTCCATTTCGTTTTAACATTCACCATTTCGTAATTTATTTTAATTTTTTCTGTTTTCTTTCTGTTATTTTGATCAAAATTGTTTTTGCATTTATTAAACCAATTGAAATACTACAATTAATAGCGTTGAAAAAGTTTTTTTAATATTTGGAAGATAATATTCATATATCTTTTGAATATGTCGAGAAGAGAGTATGTTATTCAGCGCTTATGGCTGAGTAATGTCTGAATAAAAACATACTCTCCTCTCGATATTTTCAATAGATATGCACATTGTGAGACGTTGCTGAATGCATTGACATTTCGTCTAAAACTGAGAATACCAAGAATACCAAGAATACCTTCAATTTCGGTGAATATCTCAAGTAATATTCCATGTGTCTACCCCCTAGGTATAAAATCAAAATAAATGCAATTCGAATGGAAATAATAGCATTTTTTTTTTTTGAAGAAATGAAAATTTTGCTCTTGGTCTCAAACTTTCTGACGGCACTGTATTTTTGAGAGTGGAAATACATTTTTTCTTGACTTTAAAATTGCTTCAAATTCGTAAATCGAGAAAAGTGAAGTTTCACGTCATTATAATGCAAAACACACATTTTACTTTTCCGCACACATAGTGTAAGGTGAAAAGTATTGTAATCGGTCAAAATTTTGAAACTTCAGAAACATGTTCTCTACCTATTATTGAGGTAAGAGAACACGAATTTGGCGTTTTTAAACATGGTTTTTGTTAATCTGTACGTCGTACGCAAAATTTGTTAGCAATATTGCGCTCATCGTAGAAACTCAATTCAAAATCTGACTTTACAGGATGATTGGGGGTCGCGAGGAATAGAAATCATTAGATTTTTTAAAATTTCATGCCTGGAGTGATACCTATGAAAAAGAGTCCAATTTTCGTCCAAAAGTCATACTTAATGTAGACTTAAACACTCAAAAATATATATTGGGGGTTTTTTTGGCACGAGAAAACCGAATCCGACGTTAGTTTTGAGCTACAATCAATTTTTGATACAGTTTCCTTGAAAAAATCACAAAAAATTGAATTTTTGTAAGGGAGCCATGTCTGTATGCTACCTTAATGGTGTGAAACTTTGCACAGACTATTTTTTACGCAAAAATATAACATTCTGAAAGTTTGAAGAGATTTAAATTGAAATTAGGGGTACCTCCTATACAAAATTTTCAATTTTTGACATATTTTTTATGGCAAAATTAATGTCAGATATATTTTTATAGCGCTTTGTTAGAAAATAGAATACTTTCAAATGTCATACAAATAAGTTCATATCATGTCAGTGTGAAAAATCTTTTGCGAGTACTTCTGCTATTAAATTAAAGAATATTTCGATGCCGAATATATAGCTTAATAAAATACGCATCTACTACCGTGCGGAAAAGTTCGTCTTACTCCTGTAAGACTCTTTGTTTGTGATTTCTGTTTTAACATTTCAAGAAAAAATGTGTTTTCCATTCTCAAAAATATGTAGTGGGAGCATAGCTTCTGGAGTTGGCGATCCAAGAGGGGGGTGATTTCAAAATTTTCCAAAAATGTAAAGGGGTAACTTTTTCGATTTGGGCTCGCACAAATTCAAAAACGCATTTTTGAATAGTTCGTTCCTAGGGGGGAGTGAAGAGCTAAAAAAAAGGTGTTCACATTTTTCGCGAAAATCCTTAGCAAAAGAAAGAATATTTTTCTCAAAAAAATGAAATTTCTAAGAAGTTAATTCCCAAATCTGTTCTCCAGGGGGGGTAATCCAACCCCTCGGACCCCTGCTCAGAAGCTATGAGTGGGAGTTTATTGGTACGAGAAAACCGACTATGATGTTATTTTAGTTTCATGATTCAATAAATTTTTGATATACTTTTCAAACAAAAATCTGAAAAAATCACAAAAAATGTGGATTTTGTATGGGAGATATACTTGTATGAAAACGCAATGACGTTAAATTTTGCACAGCTTATTTTTTCCATAAAAAAATGATATTCTAAGAGTTTGTAGATTTGAATCAAAGCTAGGCACACTTCCCTTGCAAAATTTTCGTTTTTTTAAAAAAAATTGTATGGGAGGTATCCTTGTTTTTTGCTGAAATGTTTTCAAACTCTCAGAATGTTATTTTCTTGTGAAAATAATAGCCTGTGCAGAGTTTCACGTCATTACGATGTCATACAGGCTTAGCTCCCATACAAAAGTTCATATTTTTGGTGGTTTTTCACATTTTTTTATGAAAAATGTGTTACCCATTGATCGTATCGCAAAAATAATGCCAGATTCGGTTTTCTCGCACCAAAAAATCCCCCACCACGTATTTTTTACATTCTTTTTTTAGGAAATAGAAATCGTTCAAAATACACCAAAATGGGTCCATTGAGGTATCTTCCCAATGAATTTGTAGCGCCATGGTTCCCTACTTGAACAAACCAATGGTCCATATCGTGTTTTTAGGCCTCAAATATGCTAAAACCGGCCTAGAATTTTAAAAATTAAATTCTTTTTTCGGCCACCCTAATGTGTAAGTTTTTAATATTTCTCATCATATGATGTTGTTTGTAGTCTTTCAGAAAATGGTTTGGCAGTAACGGGTAAAAGAGATTCGTGCATTAATATTTTTGAATTTTTATTTAAGCTGCAATTAATAAAATTCTAGTCACTCGGAGCTGTGTCGGTGTATGGGAAATTCGTTCTGGTCGGCTTCTATCTAAATTGGCTGATTCTCATTTGGGGGCAATAGTTACACAAGCTGAAATTACATCTGATGGCAGGTACATTGTTTCATCAGAAACTGGGAAATTATTAATTTGGAATCGGGTATCAGAACAAGTTTTGTACCGCGATGATTCACAACCCGGCATTCAACAGCTCAAGTTTTTGGATGGGGATGAAAAAGTTCTAGCGATTTCATGTGCAAATATCAATCGTAAAACCGACGACACAGAATGTGGTGATCTAATTGCAACAGCTCGAATCAGAAGCATACCCGATGGTGCACTACAATGTGAATTTGAGTATTCATTCAAAATTATACCTGGGATTCCATTCCGAAATGCAATCATAACATCCGATAATAATCATATTGTTGTGGTGACCATTGACAAAGCGAATAAGGACTCCATAAGCATATTCAACTCTTCTGGTAATCATATACACAAAATTGCTTTGCGTGGCTACAATATAAAGGTAAAAGAAATATGTTGTGACAGTGTAATAAGACTTGAATAACAAAAAAAAACATTTGATGGAATTTATCGATTATAAATTATTTAAACATTTCAGGAAGTTATCACTATCGTTCCACTCCCACATAAATCCACACAAATTGGAATAATTGGTAGTGAGAAAGGTTCCATAATTGATATCAAAACCAAACGACACATACGATCAATTCCAAAATGGAATGGAAGTTGTACACGAGATGGAAAATATGGTTTGTATGCCCCATCGAGGGGTGGTCTTGAATTCCTTTGCTTGAAAAAAGGATCTTTGGTCAAAACTTTTATAGCAAAAGTAGCTGAAGGCGTATTCACTGTAATTTGTATGTTTACCGAAGGTGATGAATATGTGCTATATTATCATAGCGGTAATAAGAAATCTTCCTTCATGAATTTCTCCTATTCAAACATGTTTTTCGAAACTTCTAACCATTCGTTGGTCCTGATCATTTTAGGCAAAAAGACATTGCGAGTTTTTCGAACTTCAAATACAGAGATGATCGCAAATTATCGAATGCAAGCTGAACTAACAGCAATCAAAAGCACAATTGATGGCAAAGGATTAGTTTTGGGAACAGTAGATGGATGTTTATCTGTTTTCAGCATCGCTGATCCAGAGAAAGAAGAATCCTATAAATTTTTGGCTGATTTGCCAAGCCGGGTTTGTTTATATTATTGTACTTATTATTGTTTTCATTCTAATTTATATATTTATTTTAGGATGAACAATGGAAGAAAAAGTTAGCAAAGAGAAAGGCACGAATCCGATTCAAAGCAACCATTTCATTGGTTCGATTATGTTTAAAATTATATGTGAATGGTGTACAGAAGATTGATAGCGAAAACGATCTTTAAAATATCTATTTAAAGTTATTACATGTTATGAAAAATAAAAATAATTTATCAAGTGAACAGTTTAATTTTCAATTTAAGTTTGATTCCTATAAATAGTTAATAAAATTATTCAAATATAGTTGTTAAGCAAAAGTTCTTTTATTTTCTCTTAACAAAGTGTACACTGTACATTTTTGATATCCACATACTGCTATTTGCCACCAATTTTAGTTTGAGTGATCAGTTTTTTCCAATGGATGCAGAGAAGAATGTTAATTTTTCATTAAGTTGAAGTTGTGTCTTGATCAATTGAGACAAAGAGATCACCATAAGCAAATCTTTAACGTTGGAATTGAACATTTGGGCAAATTGATCAGTATTCATGTGTGGAACTGAATTTATTAGATCGAGAAGCGATCGACCAACTGCATTGTCTGGTGGTTGCTTGCTGCTAAGCACATCTTCAACATATGTCAGAAGTTCTTCAAGAAGATTAGACAACTTCGAAGACGCCTCCGAAACTTGGGCCAAATCGAGCATTGGCGATACGTTCTTCAAACGGCTCGATGGTGGAGCAATTGTTTTTTCACATAGTTGTAAACCAACCACCTGTGTAAAGCATGAATATTCCATTAAATTTTAATAAAAGTTTCAAATTTGTCATTTGCAATGAACTCACTTCTGGCTCATAATAAGTGACTTCGGTATTTATTGGTGTAAACATACAGCCATTCTTTCCTCCTGGAACACCCAAATTGATGCAAACATATGCTTTCAATCCCATACGACCACCTTGCAAAGAGGTATCCACCGTCAAATGCACAGGATTATTACATTCACGAGCATAATACTCATGGATAACTGAACTGTGATTAGTTACTTCATGACCAGTAGCCCACCAACCTATAACCAAATCAAATTAATATATATGATTATTATTTAGTTTTTCTTTTTTAATATAAATTCGATGTAATAAAATTTAATAAAAAAAAACATTTAATTGGTATGCTTTCGACAAATATATAAGGCAAGTTAGCATTGGTACCAACCTCTAATAAATGAAAAAATGGTATAACACGATTATTATTCAGTGACACATGGTTAAAAGAAATATTTTTTTAATATTTTTTATACACTCACCAACAATGATTTCTGATGGATTCACCCGGCGATTCAGTTCATAAACATCTAATGCATAGCTAAGTTCAGCTTCAACTTGATCGTCGTGTTCCTTATGAGGTACACAAAAACAGTTTGTAACCTCAACAACACCTTTGTCGACTGATCCTAATTACCATGGAGTCAATATGAATATTGATTCAATGAACTAACCAAAGACAAGTAAAAAAAACTTTCTTACCTAGTAATGTTCCAATTACACGCTGTGAATCTGCATTACGTCGTTCGAATGCGTCAACAATTTGAAATAAAACGATTGGATGAACTTTTACAGAAAGACTTAATGCGTTCATTTTGTAAAAAAATTGCGTGGACATGGACTGTGTGTTTCTTCTGCTACAAGTGTAGTTATACCGCTGTGTGATAAACTACTTACTAATAAACGTCATTTGTGAACGCGTGAATCGTTTCATGTGCGAGAGCATCATTGAAAAAGTAGCGCCATCTGTCGCAAAAAAATGGACTTAGTTAGATTTTCTTGTATTTATATTTGAACATTTTAACCACTAATATCAGTAGCAATTTTTTTAGTAACTCGGATATTCAGTTTTATGTCAATTTAATGTTCTTTATTAACGTATTTTTAAATGAAAAAAACTAATGTCCAACAAATAATACTGAATATTCATTTATTTTCTTAATATTTTATAAATTTACACGTAAATTTTTGTTGAACGAAGAAATATACTGTTCATAATAAAATCATAAAATTGTGGCTTTTATCATTGTTCGTTATTGAATTTATGTGATTTAAAACAATTTAATCTGTAGAGTTGTATTTTTTTTCTTCAAATATTTACAATGGGCAACGTTGTACTCATTCCATAAGTGCATAATTCCTCGGGAAGGAAAATGAAAAAAGCTTTCTATATTGCAAAGTTTTGGTCTGGATATCCACTTGGGTAGCTGTGGAATAATGAGGAAACCATTTTGTTTCAAATACCGAGGATATACGACACTTGTATAACTAGATTATAATTAACATGGTGCGATTTGAATTACAGTGATGAACAAATAAAGAAGATTCAATTAAATTTTTCTTTAAAATACTGGAATGCACAAAATATGACAAAATTGAAATGTAGATTCATTCCGCGACGTAACAACAATAAATTTTATAGCCATTGTTAAATAAATTCTGGTGCAAACGAATGATGTTAATCCAAACAAAAAATAACACAAACAAAACTAGCACAATTTTCCAGTTTGATAGGAAAAGGAGCTGTTAGTTTGAAAAAATAATCTTTTCCGAGGACTTTTACAGTTTGGATACTGTACGATTAGTGCCATAAAATCCTTTTGAACAGTTTAAACTTGTTTCTTTTTTCTACCATTGAACTTGAACTGAAAAAATGTTATGGTCCAAACACATAACTCTTATATCAATTATTGTACGACATGATGTGACTTCTATGTTTTCACTTTGTGTATTTTGATAGTTTTATATATTGAAGACTATTTTAGTTATTTTCCCAATCTAACTTTTCATGCATTAAGCCATAAAATGGACACTAAACTAACTTTATAAGTAGATATTGATTTGCTGATTTTTCTGCAATTATTTTTTTTTCTCTTTAAATTTAGAAATTCGGTGTGATCTCAATTCAGAAAGCTCATATTTTAAACGAGAAATTTAGTCTTCCAAGTTGCGGAAGGCTTGTTGCAAATCTTCATGTAATTGATCAAAATCTGACTTGATTTTAGCTTCTCCATCCTTTACTGGATCCTATTATAACAAAAAAAAATTGAACATAATGAATAGAATATATTAATAATATCACATTATTATATGTATATGATATGTTTGTATATTACCTTGAATTTCATTGAGGACAACTGGTACATAATATTTCCCATGGCATCTCGAATAACATTCCATGTGATTTTATTCTCAGATTGTGCGGTTGATTCGACGGCATGACGAGCCATATCATAGAATGCAATGATGTTCTTTAGCATACCGACTGTTTTGTAGAATGGACAGAAACGATCGTATGATGAATATGAATTTTGTTGCAAAAAGTCATCTTTCAAGAGTTTGGCAACTTCCAAGGTGATTTTGTCGGTTTCAGCCAACGATGCTTTGCCAACCAACTGCACAATTTCAGACAAATCTTCTTCTTCTTGAAGAATTTCCTTGACCTTTGTACGCAATGCAACAAATTCTGGGAAATTTTTGTCATAGAAGTCATCAAGGGCGCGCATATATTTACTATAATTCATTAATATGAATTTAAATCGAAATTGGAATAAACAATTGATATTATAGCTATTAAAGAACAAATTTTAGTTACCTATATGAAATAAGCCAATTGATGGATGGGAAATGTTTACGCTGTGCAAGTTTTTTATCCAACCCCCAGAAAACTTGGACGATACCCAATGTAGCAGAAGTGACAGGATCGGAGAAGTCACCACCTAGACACAATCATTTGATAATATAGTTTGATTCGGAAAATATAGAATAAAATCGATTTATTTAGAGAAAGAAAAGTATTCGCATAATATGAATTACCTGGTGGCGATACAGCGCCGACAATCGAGACTGAACCTTCACGTTCTGGGTTACCTAAGCATTTAACGCGGCCAGCACGTTCATAGAATGAGGCCAAACGAGCGCCCAGGTAAGCCGGATAACCTGAATCAGCAGGCATTTCAGCCAACCGACCAGAAATTTCTCGAAGAGCTTCAGCCCAACGTGATGTTGAGTCAGCCATCATTGAAACGTGGTATCCCATATCACGGAAATATTCAGACAATGTAATTCCGGTGTAAATAGATGCTTCACGAGCAGCTACAGGCATGTTGGATGTATTCGCAACCAATGCTGTACGTTTCATAATTGATTCAGTAACACCATCAATTTCAACAGAAAGTTCGGGGAAGTCTCGCAGTACTTCAGACATTTCGTTACCACGTTCACCACAACCGACATAAACGATAACATCAGAATTGGAGTACTTTGACAAAGATTGTGAAATGACAGTTTTACCGCAACCGAATGCACCTGGAATAGCGGTAGTACCACCTTGGACACATCTAAAAATTGGAAATTATATTTTAAAAATGTAAAAGCAATAATAATATTATTATTAAGAAATAAATGATCCAACTAATCCTCATTTGACAATAATATTCAAATAATAAACTTACGGAAAGAGAGAATCCAATACACGTTGACCAGTTAACAATGGATGGTTGGCTGGTAATTTTTCTGTAACTGGACGTGGTTGACGAACTGGCCACACCGATAACATGGTATGCTTGGTAATTTCTCCATCGAATTCAGTTTCAAGTACTACATCATCCACAGTATAGTTTCCGGCTGGGGCAATGTATCGAACAGTACCTTTTGCTTTTGGTGGTACAATCATTTTGTGTTTGACCAATGTATTTTCATGAACAAGACCATACAAATCGCCTCCAGTAATATGTGATCCAACTTTAACTCCCATTGGATTGAAATCCCATGCAGCGGTACGTGATAGTGAAGGCGTATTAATTCCTTTTGGGATGTAGATCGATGCGGTCAACTCGTTGATGTCTTTTAACGGACGTTGGATACCGTCGAAAATGCTACCCATAATACCAGGTCCCAATTCCACCGATAATGGTTTTCCAGTTCGTAGTACAGGATCACCGACCGTAACGCCAGACGTTTCTTCATATACTTGAATAGTTGCCATATCACCCTCCAAACGGATAATTTCTCCAACCAACTCATAGTAACCGACACGTACCAGCTCGTACATAGCCGATCCAGACATTCGTTCAGCCGTTACGACTGTTAATAAATAATTTGTTATTGTATAGATATAAAAGTATATAGCTATTTCAATTTTATTCACTTTAAAAACATCTCCATATAAAGTTATTTAAATATAGTTTATCGTAAATACGGAGAATTTAATACCTGGACCAGAAACAGCGTATACATAGCCGAACTTCGACTCACGATGCTCATCTTGGATCTTCTTTAAAGTTGACATTTTAAATTGTTTCTCCTTTAGTCTTTGTCCTCACAAAATACTTCTTTTCTGTTAAAATAAATTTGTATTTGTCACTTGATATTTCTGGATAAAGAAAACCTATGGAATTTTATTTCATTTATTTTTAATAGGATAGTCAAAATGATAGATTTATACAGAAAACGTCCTATAGCTTGGAGTCACATGAATATAAGATGAAATTCTAAAATGGCTGATGTTTAAAATTACAAAAACTATTTAGCAATTTTTGTGGTGTATTGTATAAATTTCAACATTATTTGTTGAAAACTAATCTTGAATTGATGGGACAAATTTTTTTTCTTACATTCATTACATTAAAAACTTTCTTTGTAAAGATTGGGTCACATGAACGTCACCTGCTACAAAAAAAAATATTGTATCTACAACTTCAATAACTAAAGAGTCTTTAGTAAAGACATAAAAGATTAAAAAAGATATCAATAAAAGAAAGGCAAAGAAGAAAACTAAATGGAAAATATTTCGAAATTTAAAAAAGATATATATAACAGGAGAATACATTTTTTAGAAATTCATAAAGCATTAATTCCATAAAGTTTTAGATATACACAGTGTATGACAAGTCACATGACTCAATTTTCACTTATCAAAATCTACGGTAATGTCTATGTGCGTGTTTTTTCTTCTTGATTTCATTTCTTCACTGTATTTTCCTGCGCATGACTCAATAGAAAATGAAAATTCCAATTAGACTTTGAAAAAACTATTATTTTGTATCAATAGATGTAACGAATTGGAATATATTTCAACGCAAAGTATCAATAAAAAATGTATTTGTTTTCCACAAAAATCAAGTACACCTAATAATAAGAGAAAATATTTCGTTAAACTAGATCTCGTATTCATTCTACAAGAACACCACATTACATTATGATTAAATTTGAAAAGATTCGTTTCACAAATGTTAAAATAATTTTAAATTAATAAAAAACTACGATCGGATCTTGAATTCGACTTACACACAATGTTTCACGGACTTTAAATTGCAACAAACTGATTGAGAGTCTATCTGAAGCGCACAAAAATTGGTATCACAAGATCGCAAGACAGCTAGGAATAAGTGATTGGTCAGCTGACACGAACTAATATTTTTTCACACTTTATATACACAAATATTAATATGACCGTGTATATAGACTATGTATATAAAATTTCCCCTATGAATATTGCTCCATCTGGCGTTTTATTTAACTTAAACTATTCTTTTCATGTGTTTTGTTAATAAAAATTGAATTTTTAAAAATAAATTGATGTAAAGGCAAAATATTATTTAAATATTAATCAAAATATAAATATAAAATGTAGAAAGTTGTAAAAAATTAAAATGTTGAAAATGTCCTAAAACATTTTTTGACATATGATGACTTATATTAATTTCCCAACTATATACAAGATGAACTGGTGGAAAAAGAAGAATAAACTTATCAAACATTAGTCGAGAGAAATATTGATGCCTAGATTTTCAATTTATTATAGTAAAAAAAATCGACGAAGAATTGAATGAAAAAACATTGAAATGTTTTGTCATCAACAATTGGAAAGATAAAATTTATTTGAAAATCGAATACACATTTTGAACGCTGTGCTTTTCGTGGACTTGAATATTAATTTGATTCAACCAGAAGCAATCACATAAAAATGACAAAAAAAGATCCCAGGTGAGGAATACTGGCAAAAGGGAACGCTCAAATTAATGAAATAAAAAATATTGACGAGCATTCAAAATTTTTGTTGTAATGTTCGACGAATAAAAGTTGTTCAAGTGAAATGAAATGTTTAAAATCAAATGTGTGACTTTACCCTAACCTCAAAACTAATTCACATTATCATTTCTTTTCGTATTTAGAGGTACAATAGAACTCGGCGACGTAACACCGCATAACATAAAACAACTTAAAAAATTGAACACGGTGGTTTTTCCTGTGATTTACAATGACAAATTTTATATCGATGTGTTGGATGCGGGAGAATTAGCAAAATTGGCTTACTACAATGACATTGTAGTTGGAGCTGTTTGTTGTCGCATCGATACATCGGAAAATCAACGACGTCTTTATATTATGACATTAGGTTGCCTATCTCCATACCGTCGTCTTGGGATTGGTTCTGTTATGGTCAACCACATTCTTAACTATGTGAAGGAAGATGGAAATTTCGATAGTATATTCCTGTGAGTGATATTTATGTGATAATAATAGTTATACTAAGACATTTTAATTAATGATTGCATATTTCTTAGACATGTCCAAGTAAACAACGAATGTGCCATAGAATTCTATCAAAAATTTGGCTTTGAAATTGTTGAAACACGAGAACAATACTACAAACGAATTGAACCAGCTGGTGCACATGTTCTTGAAAAGAATCTGCGAAAATCATCGGGATTCGCCGTCAATTCAGATACTACTAGTGTTGCTGACTTACCGAATGGCAACACTGAATTACACACCTCTCAAACCAAATCAACTAAAGCATCTGCATAATATCCGCATTCAAATACACATCGCCAACACTTTAATTTAATTTCGTTAAATAAAACTGCAATCAATTATGTACTATTTTTTCTGGTAAAATTAAAGTGACTGAAAATTATATCTCTGCGTTTTTTGTCACAATATTACAGCAATGATTCGACCATTGCTTATTTTCTTATTTGCTGCAATGTCCAAGTCTATTATTCATCATCCATATCAAGAAGTTTGAGTTCAATATATTTCAAATTGGTTATCATTAATATAATTAATAATAATTGGTTCATTTATTACTAAATATAAAACGTGAGTTTTGATAAAAAAATGTAATAAATATTATAATCTACTATTCACACATTTTGAAAAAAGAAATTGATTTTTTCAGATAACTAAACTACAACTTTTGATGAATTATTATGATATTATAAAACCTTTTTCTAAAGCAAAATAACAAATGGATTCATATTTGGTAGTTTGTAGTCTCTATTTAAATTGACCTCGACTATGAATTTCATACAATGGTCCAGATGGATTTGGATCGTAGGACGAGGGACCAGCATATATACCATTATTCGATGCTGTTTCATAACCTGTAAAATCCAACAAAAGTGGGTAAAATATTAGGTTTTGATTATTCATTCATTAAAAAAAAAATGTGTTGTATCGTATTGGTGAAATTCATGTTTGCTGTTTTTCGTTTTATGTATTTTACTTAATCGAATGGGGCATTTTGATACAATAAACTTTTTTTTGGGCCAGTCTATTGTTCATCAGAAATAATTGCATCAAATCAATTTCAATAAAAACCTTGTTCAGACAATGGGGTTATTAAGCCTTCATTCTGTTCACTACGAAAGAAATTTTGGTGATGTTGAATCGCTTGTAACTGTTGTAAATGCGCTTGGAGATCATGTTGTTGTTGATGTTGATATTGTTCTTTGAAGAGAAAAAAATATTTTTTTTTCATAATAAAAAGACTTTTTCTATTCATTCGCAAAACAGTATAAATAAATCAAATACAACACCTGATGGATCTGGTGGTAGATAGTAATTTTTTGACATTTGAGTAAGACTTGGACCAGTTGATAAATGGGATGGATTCAGTGGAGGTAAGACTGTAACAGCCGGTGGATTGATTGGATTGCTTTGAACATTTTGTACTGAAGAGAAAACAGGTCTCCATCCATCTTGCGAAATTAATGTTGGTTGTGGTAAATTGTTAGGTATTGCAATTGGATTCACATTATGAATATGCGGTGAACTGGATGGAATTGTATTCACAGTATGAATATGCGGTGAACTGGATGGACTTGTATTCACAGTATGAATATGCGGTGAACTAGATGAAATAAATGCAGGTGTCGAAAATTGTGAAACCGGAACAATTGAAGCTATTGGCTTTTGAATTATAGATTTTTGGAAAAAGACTGGATAACGGTTTGCATAAACTGGTAAAACCGGTTTCGATTGAATCAAAATCTGTGGAGATATTGCTGGTCTTATCTTGGATACAATAACTTTTGGATAGTTCACATTAAATGAGTGAACAACAGCATTCCCAGGAGTAAGAGCATAATTGGTAACTGAACCAGGATATCTGGCATACGGTGAATATCGCCCAAAAACTGGTAGAGGATAACTAAAACCACCACTTCCATATCCGTGAATACCACGCTTTGTTTTCGTTGAACTTTCTTCAATTTTCACTGACTTTTCATCTTCCGATTTATTTTCGACACTACAATACACCAAAGTCACAAAAAGGAAAGTAACCGCGGTTACCAGTAATAAACGCATTTTTGGACAATTGTTCACTATATTTAAAAAAAAAACACTTTTTTTTAAATTTCAACCAAACGAAAATAATTAATAGATGAAACAATGAATGAACCGTCTGCTTCGGATACGTAATCAACAATGTGAAGATTTAAATCAAAAACCCATATTTATAAAGCGGATAACATTTGGAATACATGGTCATCAAATTGAATTTCCAACGTATTTTCTTGTAGACGCTAAAATCAAAGCTTATTGATATTCATTTATTGTTGTTTTTTTAAGCAGGTACGTGTATGAGTTTTATATGTGTGAGATTAAATGTTCGATGAGAAACGAGACATTTTTTTTATTTTTGGTATTCACTTTGGTCATCTTTGTGATTGCTTGTTGTCGTGCCAATTTAAATTCCATGTGATACCGAAACGTGAACGAACGACTATATGCTTTCACTCTGGACGATATAATTTCGTCGTGATCGGAATCACTTACAGTTTCGTTACTCAAGCTATTTCTGAACAGTTTTAATTTTCGAATCAATATACAAAAAAAATTTCTTTGTTCGCTGGTGAAAATCAAAATATTTCATTCACCAAAAATTCTTCTTTCTTGCATTTGTGTTATACATTTGAAATTTTTATTGTTTATGTCCGGTTCAAATTATACATTCAATACTAAAAACTGATTCGGTTTAAGAATTTACGTGAATTTATGCCTCGGTGATGAGACAATAAAAACATCATTATATAAATCTCCAATCCACAGATGTGTTTGATTTTTTTTAAAAGCGTTGCTTTTATTTTGAGATTTAAAATTCGAATTTTACTCATTTTCATTTTTGGCGTTAACGACTGTGACCTCGAACAAAGTTGTATGCGAATATGGAGTATTATGACTTCATCATGTGACATTTTTTTTACGCGATAGTGTAGATAAATTGGATGATAACAATAATAAAAAAGAGTATGTCAAATGGTTCACCAAACCATACCTTTGAACTGAGTCAAGGCCAGTTTCGATTTTGTGTTTAAATCAATTTTCAGTTTGTATGGAAATTGAGCTTTAAAATTGTTTGTCCAAAAATTTTAATATTTGTATTGTTCATATTAGTATTATTATTATTAATTTGAATAACAATAGCATATATGCGTGTGATTTTCAAATCATTATTCATTATGTTTTATTAATCGCCAATAAATACAATATATGTTAGGTAAGAAGTTTTATGAATTCTAACAAGTGTCGTCAAATCAATGTTTCAATAAAATTAAAGGCAATGACATAAGAAGTAAATTACAGTTACGCATACCGGAAAATTACAGTTGAATGATCCAATTTTTTTTCAAATATAGATTTGTACGGAAAACATTGCTGATCGTATATTTGTTCTCATTGAAGCAATAAGTTATTCATTCGAAATGAAAAGTGAACACGTAATTTGTCAATATCAAAGACAAATCAATCGAAAAACGCTTCAATTTCAGCTATAACATAAAAGTAATAAAAATAATTTTTCAGTTAGTTGTTCGTTTTCTTTGTCAACGCTACGGTAAGAATTGCAGTGTGCATTGAAAATTGTGAATCGTTATTTTTATATTCAAGTGATCTGAAATGAATTTTCTATTATCAATAACTTTAGTTCTATTATCAATAACTTTATCGGTGTCAACAGAAAAAATACGAACAAAACGTACATTACAGTATTTTTTTGAGGGACTTTTCAATGTTTTAAATGAGAAACGAAATGATAATAATCTTCATTCAAAAAGTACAAATGACCATAGGCTTTCACCATTAATAATGTTGACAAAATTAAGTTCGATTTCAACTCAATCGAAAATGTTTGAAGATGATGACGATAGTGAAAGTGTTCCAACATCTATATCAACATCTAAAAATGTCTTACCAAAGGCAGTTTTTAAAGAAACTTCATATTCAGCGGAAACAACCACCATCACAAATGAAGAGAAAACATTTCCCTTGGAATCAAGTACAAGTACTACACTTGTCCCAACCACCATAGAAACATTCATTACAACAAATTTGGATTCATCAACAACATCAACAATTTCACCAACAACTGTATGTGTATTCAGACATGAAGGTGATAAGGAAGATACATTACAATCAAAAGTGACCTCAAACCGACGTCGTCACACGTTTTTTGATGGCCCTTTAATTGTTGAACAACACAATGATTGGAAAAAGCATAGCCCAAAATACACCAATGATTGCCAACATTCGAACGATAATATTCATCCATATTTATCACCTAATTTACGTAGTTTTCTTGATTCATTATCAGTTGATTTACCAAAGGATGAGTCATTGAATGAACAACGTCGACATCCAATTATATACTTGCATCAGCCGCATTTCCAATTTCACATATAATACAACAATAATACATATATAAAACAACAAATGCTGCAATAGAATTTTTTTTACCTTTACATAAAATGAAAAAAAAAATTATATTTTCAACAACTTTAATCTTCATTAAAATTTTAAAAACATAATTAGCAAACACCGATAATTGTTGTCAAATGGATTTTATAAACATAAAAAATGTTGTAAATTTTATATTCACAGAAATTTCTGTTGTAAATAGTCATAAGAAAATTCATACATAAGTAACATTATTGCACCACCTGGCCCGAGGCGCATCACTTTCGGTAATAAACCTAGAAGATTAATTAAAATATTAATTAAAAGATTGTTTTTTAATTTTTTTTCCAGTTACCTTTATACAATGCAGAAAATCCTTCCTCTCGAGCTACTGTTAACAAAGTTCCACAAGTAGTACGATATTTTATTTGACCTGACACCGGTTGTGGCCCCTAAATTTAAATACTTTTATTTTACTTCCGCCAAAATTTGCAATATAGATAAGAAATCAATAGCATATCACAAGACATATGCGGTCTCATATTCAATAGAAATTTACAAAGAATAAAAAAAATGTATTTGATAAAATATATTCTGTTAATTTATAACCTGAATTCTAGATTTCGCCACATCAAAAGGAATATTAGCAAAACTGGCTATTGTTCCTGATGTAAATCCAATTCCCACCTTACGTATAAATTCTTTCATTGGTTCCTATAGGATCGAAATTAGCAGTACATATGTGCGTAGTTCAGTCACCAATGTAAGAAAAAAAGAGAAAAAAGTATTTGTTATAAAGGTTCCTGTGAATTAGAATCAATGTAAGAAAAAATTATTAATTAAAATGACATTTATATGGAATTAAACTAAAAGCGTTACGTATTTTACCGCTAAATTTGACTGAAAATCGATATCGACTCATTTATAGCCAACGTTCGAAAATCTAAAGTCTCTAAAAATAAACTACTTCAAATTTTCGAACGTCGACTGTATGACACATGATTTTTGACATAGTACGTAAAACGTTTTACAATAGAAATGTTTGACCATATCCAATCGACTTGAAAATCTATCACACAAACCTCATACGCTGGAAAATAGTCCTTTACACTGTGGTAAAAACCGAAGTAAATCATATTGAAAACGCCATTTCGTGCAATCGTCGCTGTTAGACCTTTATTCAAGCCTTGCAAACCAAAACCCTCTGTTTTAATAATATTTCGGGCCACGCTAAAAGTTGATGGTATTTCAGTTGATCTGAAATATATATATATATATATCATATCTTAATAATAATCCAGAAAATAGTTCGTCTTTTCATAACATATTATACTTGGCTCGATTTGACTGCAATGTTACTTTTACAACTTCGAAAGAATTTACAATAACTGCTTCTGTTGCTCCAGCTCCTGGAAATCCAATAAATAAAAACCATAATCTCATTTGAATTAAATGAGCAAATATTTATCATAATATCAAAATGAAAATTTATATCAGGACATTTTTTGATTAACAGCTTGCGTCATAATGGGGTCATGGTTTTTTTTAGTATTTCTATGATGAAATCCTAACGTTATAAGTGTGTCGAGACCTGATTTAATCGCAAAATAAATGTCAGATTCGACTTTTTCGTGCCAAAAAACTCCCAGTACCATTTTTCCTAACAATCAAATAAAAACAAATTTACTCCAAAATAAAATGTCTTACATTCGTAAGGTGAACTTTTCCGCACTGTGTTCCACTGATCCACAACATGAATTAATTACATATCTTTTACTTATACAGTATAAGTATAAGTTATACTTGATTTCACGAGAAAACTGAAATTAGTTCTACGATACAAATAATTTTCGACGCACTTCTTATACCAAAATTAGTCATTTTAAATTACTAAAAATGTGAATTTTCGTATGGGAGCCATGCCTATATGATGACGTGAAACAATTATTATTATTATTTATTTATTCACCGTCTGATCACAGACTGAATTTATCACAAATTTTGTACAATATCGTTTACAATGAGACACCACCCGATCGAATATCCAGCTACCAGTCTTTTCGACTTCGGAGCAGCAGACATCGATTGTGTTCATTGTGTGATCTTTTTCGTCTCCATACATTCTTTAAAATTATCTGTTCACCGATTATTAAATATCAAATTGTCTAAATGAACAATATTATTCCTAAAAATTTCTCTTGATGCCGATTCAAAAAATTGTTCTCGTATTAAATTGAAATTCCTACATGCTACGTAAAATGGCTGATTATGTGCATAGTCCGATGTAAACATTCGTACTCTAATGAGTTCTGTATTTCTCAAACCAAAACATTGCACAGGTTATTGGGTTTATCGATTAGTTTCCGGGATTTTTTGGTAAAACAAAATTGAAAGAAAATGTCATTCAAAGTATTGTCCATCGCTAGCCACTACTTTTGTCCATATTTTAGTCAAAAGACGAAAATCGGGTCGAAATGATTCTTCGTCCTTTGAGGTTATGTATTCATCGACCCATTTTTTGACTATTCTATAAATAGAGAGCTGCCAATCAGGCACACGGCGTTTAATCAATCCAAGTGGGTACAATTCGGAAAGGGCAATGTCCATTGACCATGCGGGGGAGGAAAAGATGTTTCTCTCCAACTGCGTTTATCTTATTCTGGACCAGGTGTGCAAAAAGTCAGAGAAAATGTGCTGCTCAAAAATGGCCATTTTTTGATTTTGGAATTTTTTTCGTTTCTTTCACTTTCGAAATGGACTCAAATCAACTAAATATTATTGGCAGAGACCATTTCTATCATTACAGATAAGTTTCAGCATTTTTTGATACACAGTATCTTTCCGATTGGACCGAATATTGAAAAAGTCCCCAAAATTGGGGGGTAGCCGATTTTTTATGGTTGGATTGAATCGGTTTTTTTCTTTTTTGCTGTAAGCTATTGAGAAGGGTCCATTCTACACTATCAGTGACAACAGTGTGCTCGTATAACATTTTTATCCATTTTGTGGCATTATCATTTTTGCCACCCGTGAATTATGGTTTTTTCTCCAACTTTCAAAATTTTTCATCGTTGAAAAAAAATATGATGCACACAAACAAATGAAACACTTTTGACTGATTTTGACAGTATTTGAATAGGCCTTTCAAATGACGTATATGTCATTGATCTACTACAACGCAAGTGGTGACATCTGTTGTCAGATTCCGGAAATTAATCGATACACCCAATATTTCTTTTGAAAATTTTATATGCAAAGACATAAATCTTTGAGTAAATTAACTCACACTTGCTGTGTTAGCAGAGCGTCGAGCCATCAATATGAGTTACTTACTCTATTTTTGGTGTAAATTTCATCCAAGTGAACGCATCATAGCGAAAGAAGAGATACTTGTGTATTCATATGTGCGTTGCCGCATGCGTAGACAGTCTTAAACACAACTCGTTGAACGCATGCGGCAAAGTACATATGACTACTAATGTATCTCTTCTTGCACTATGATGTGTTTCACTTGGATGAAATTAACACCAAAAATAGAGTAAGTAACTCATTTTTATTTGCTAACACATGAAGTGTGAGTTAGCTTACTCAAATATTTCTCTCTGTGGGAGGTAGCCTTGAATTGTGTTAAATTATGAAAAAAAAAATCACATAACACGCCACCTGGCGGACATTTTTCAATTATGACTTCGGATCCAGAAAGGACTAGTCAGTTTAGTACCTTTCCAATGACGTATAAATCAATGCAATGCCTTTCAGATGGCCAGAAAATAGTCCGATTGATGAAAAGCTCAAAAATCGCGGACCAAAAATTTTCGACCCCAGACCAAAACCACTTTCACAACGCATTTTAAGACACTGAGGAATTAGTTTGATAAGTTTTCAGACTACTTTCGAAAACAAATTATTTCAAACGATTTATGAAAAGCTACCAATTTTGAGGTTTTTCGTCATTTTTGGTAAAATTTACCACTTTTCAACCGATCGTGATGATATTTTTTTAACATTACTACGCTGGAATCTTAATTTGGTGCCCAAGTACTACTAAAATATTCAAAAACCTCTTGTACCACGACTATGGTAACGAATTAAAAAGAAAATGATTTTTTACATCGAGCCAGGCCTAGGCGATTCAACTTTTTTCAAATTTTGATGAATTTGGATCACTTTTAAAATTCAAATATGACGTTACTTTCGCGATACAAAAATAAATCAAATTGACTATATTGCATAGAATATGGATGACATTCATACCATTCATAGCAATCTAACATGGTGGGTAACTGTTTTTGAGTTTAAAAAAAAAAAAAAATTAAAATCGAACCACTCGAATTGAATATACATATACTATAACATGTTATGAATGTTGGTATTGCCTCACTTGGACGAGCACCATCTCTCGTGATATATAAATATATACATACCCAAACCAGCTAATGAATATGCCTGCAAATGATAAAATAACTTTGTAAAAATGTTTTATAAATCTGTATCAACATTACTTGTGGAGTTGCTTTGTCTGACCCAAACATGAAAATTTTTTTATATTGCTCGAAACAGAGAAATTTTGTAGCCCGCTTTGGGGTTTCGGCTAAAATCGGAGGTACTATTCCTTTCCAAAATGAAAATAGTCCTTCATTGCGCAACATTTTCCGGAAACAGTCCAATACACCTTTGTAGTATAACTCCGATGAAGCGGTATTATTTATTTTGTTTTGAATTTGAAGTCGGGTTTTAACCAAATCAAGTGGATGCATGAGACATACTTCGACAAAGCCCGCAGACCCTCCAGCAATTATTTGCAGGCCGGCCTGTTTCAGGAGCGATTGTTTCGTGTTATCCAAATTTTTGGTGCTCATTTTACACTATATTATTTAAATTATTACATAAATGAAAAATTAAGACTTAAAAAAGAAATGAACACTTGTGACTTTGAGTTTATTTGATCACACACAAAACAGATAGCTGAAATAATAATTAAAATGTTGCGCAATGAAGTTTTGCGAAAATTAAATAAATGTACATATGAGATAATTTTCTAATCGCGAGTGAAGTAGATACTGAAAAAAGTAATGTATATCTTTAATTTTCGAAAAAATAAAAACAAATATTGGAGTAATAGCGTGTGTTGTGAGGCAACGTAAAATGAACACTGTTCACTGAACAAAGACAAAAGCGAAAAATATATAGAACGCATCAGATTTAAACGCAATCAAAACAATGTATATAAATATATATTTATCAGCACGAAGATAAATATATATACTACTATATATACACGAATACTACATCTTATCTAAATTATAAATCAGAATGCTAATGTTTGTTATAACATTATGTACATAAGTTCATAAGTTCAAGAGTCAAGAGTCAATCTTCAATTTTTCCTTTATTGTTTGCCCTTTGTTGATTAAATTTTGGCACATCTTCTATGACGCTTCTTCAATCTTCATACACCTAAGTATACAGTAAGTATTATTTTGGCGCTGTTCCCAAAACATAAATTTTATTTGTGTGCACATTATATACATCTGTATTTTTAAATATATATATATATATATATATATATATATATAGAACTCTTAATCTGCCCTGAGAGGATAATATTTATTATTCATCGGTGTGAAAAAGGAAAATTACAACAAATTATCAATTAATGACATTTATTTACTTTTCGTATTTATTAGAATATACAAAAAATTGACAGTTCGTTATCAAAAATTGTGATAAAAAGTAGTGTCAAACATTAAGTTTACTTTTTTCAGTTGAGTTAACTAATTTATTTAAAAACTTATTGTGGACATCATGTCTTGCGTCGCTTTGATCCGGCGGCAGCACCTTTTTTGGCTGCATTGATGATACTCTTGAATTGTCCACTGTTTTTAGCCCGTTTTCGTTTATTCAATGTGTTTCGCGAAAGAGGAATATAAGCATAAGGGTCAAGTGTGTTTTTCTTTTTCATATCTCCTTTCGATTTTTTCGCACGGTATTCACTGCCATGCCCAGTTTTGCTCGTTCCATTGGTATATCCAGATCGAACTGACGCTGCTTCACTTAATGGCCGATGAATTCCTTTCCCACCAGCAACATATTTACTACTAGTTCCAGTCTTTCCAGATGCCTGACTTAATGAACTATTTGCTTTTCTTTTACGTGATTTAGCCGTAACATTTTCTGTAAGCTCGTCTTCACTATCTGATTCTACTGGAGTTTGCTTATTACCTAGGGATGATCAGAAGAAAAGAATGGAAAAAATAGAAATTAATCAATAAGTAATAGAACAGAATGGAAAAATAATCGAAGGAATGGATGACGAATTGTAGAGTAATGGAATAGTAATTGCTGGCTTATTACCTTCACCAGTATCTTCATCTTCAGTCTCTGAATCACTGTAATTGGCTTTGTTACCTAAGGAGAATCACAAAAGAAAATAATCGAGTTAATTTAAAATAATCGAAAAATAATTGTAAAACAATCAATAATAATTAATAAGCAATGTTTTTTGATTAATTCAATAGCGGCTTTGTTACCACTTCGCTTTGGTTCTTCGATTATCAATTTTCCACTTGTATCTGTTTTGAAGCCACGATTTGGATCTTTAACTTTCGTCTTTTTATTGCCAACGGATTCTCCGACATCTTTCGTTGGCTTTGTTGCTAAAATAAAGTGTGTTTTTTTATTAACGGTATTTTTTTAATTAGGTAAATATACTTACATGCGATACTGCTCATTGCTTTGATATCAGCTAAATCTACAATGGTCTCTGAATTTTCGAATATGTATTTTTCTTCTTTCTTGTGCATTTTTTTCTTTGGACGTTCACTTTGTTGATCGCCATCTGTATCCATTAAAATATCCTCTTGAAGCTCTTCGTCAGAATCAGAATCAGCCAAAATATCATCTCTAATACATTCAAAAAACATAAATAATATTAAAAATGCTGATTCATATCTATATAAGCACTGGACGTTCTTTATTTTTATACATACGGGTCATTTTCAGCTTCATCACCAAGCCCGTCATCATCTGATCCATCTTTTTCAGCAATTTTTTGTCTCTTTGATCTGGATATAGCTTTGCGTATGTTTTTCAGTTTTTTATGTGTAATCTCATCGTTTCCGGGAACCAGTTTAACAATTTCTTCTGAAGTGAAACGTTTGCAAAGTCGTTTATATGTAAAACCGAGCTGTTTACGATAGAATCGTTTCGTATCAGGTTTCATTGCGGACATTGCTTTCACAATATTCGGTAAATGATTAGCAACATATGATGCTGGGAGAATTTTTACGAAAACCAATACAAATGCAATTGCCGCCTTAACTTTTTGACGACTGCCAGTGATCAATTGCGCCAACACTTGTTCCAATATTGAGTTCAAAAGAGTCAATGTTAATTGGTCTGTAAAATTTTGAAGTATTGCTTGCAAAACTTGAATTGTATTTGACATAACAGAATCGTCTGCTTCGGCGTCCAATCCAGACATTAAAAGCTCTACGAAATCACTGACTTTATTTGCATGCTGCAATGAAGCAAAAATATTTATTTTTAAAAAATAATAAAAAACTATATGCAAATGTAAATGAATGAAACGATTGAATTGTTTCTACCTGATAAATATGTCCAATTTTCAAAAGCAATTTTAATGCTACATTCTCTTTTGGATTCTGGCTGTTGAATGAGATAACAATTTCAGGTATGGTTCGTGATATTAGCTTGCTGTTGTGCTGCAGTCGAGATTCCTGCTTCTCGATTAAGAGAAGCAAACAACTAAACGGATTGAATTAAACATCAAATTATCGGCATCATTTGAAAAATAATTTCACTTATATTACCTTAATCGTAAATCTTGTGATGAATTTTTTCGATTTTGCAGTGTATTCAATAAGACTTTTTGAATTTGAAGCAAGTTTTCGTTTACAAATTTTTCACATCCGGTATTTTCACATTTCAATATATTGTGAAGTAGGTGATAGGATTTGATTTGACGTTCTTTGATCAATTGCGTAATACCATTCTTCTTTGCATTTCGCAAGGTTGGTTCGATATAGTTTATGAACAACTCATTCAATTGTTCAGCAGATTGATAAACAGCCAAAACAATGAGCAATTCAAAGTATGCTTGATAGGCAAACAAACCAGAATGTTGGGCTTTTTTCGTCTCATCGGATGCTCCAATTTGATCTTCCTTTGATTTGTATTCATGATGAATGGAATTGAATAGTTCGGTGAGAACATCCTTGGGTGTAACTTTAAGATATTCAATAATTACTTTTAGGGCATGTTCTCTTGAATTGTGCTCTTCACTTCCATTTGGTTTTTTGATGAAAATATTCAATAAAATGTTCAAATAATTTCGTGAAAATTTGGCCAATTGAATTTTTGATTCATCATTTGCATTTTGAAGTAATTTCATCAGACCATCAAACACTGCAACTCTAATTTCGACGCGATTTTTCAGCACATCTCCCAGAATCTTTGCAATGGAACCAAATTTGTTCAAATCTTTTGGTTGTTCGCAAAAACTAGGAAATAGATCCCATAACTGAATATAAAATAATTCATTAGTACGTGCAGCAGCCAAATTCCCTTCAGATTGATGATATTTCCATTGTTCATAACATTTGTTTGCCAGAGGTAAAATTTTACAATAGAAAAATTCAAATGAAGATCCAGCTATTGCTTTCTTTAATGCCTGCAAAACCCATAATCGCGATATATTAACATCACCATTAACATCGGTAAAGGGAACAGCAATAAAAGCTGCTTCTGGACCCATCGTTGAAATCGCAGCTCGAACCACATTTTCAATTTGTATTTGTTTTGATGCAGTTTCATCGTAACGCGATGCAATTTGATTTAACGGTGACTGTAAAATATCACCAAAATTTCGACCACAAATTTCAAATACTGTTTGAAAAACCCCAATTATTTGTTGAGATATAAAGCCGAATGGTTCGTTTAAACATTTCGTCAATTCAGAAATGATTCGAGCAATTGGTTTGCGGTGTAAATCTGTATTCATACCAGGCGCTATGCATTCTTCAAACAACTCTTTGATAGTATGGTAGACACCAGTTGCAATTTGTAAATTATCTGATTTCCATAAGTTTCCGGCACAAATGGTAATAAATCGCGGCAATTCCGATAAACATTTTGAAACATTGAACGATGTTAAGCAAACATGTCCACATCTCATGACATTGAGCCATGCCAATATTAGGTTGACATCGTTTTGTTCCGGTTGATAATCGTAGATGGCGGCAATTAATTTTCCAACCAAATCTTGTGATAGATTCGGTGACTTTGATTGGAATAAATGGTGTAGAGTATCGAAACAATTTTTTTGAATGTTTGACTTTGATGTTACCATAATCGAAAGTATATACTCGCATATCTCCTTAATATCTTCATTCTTCAAACCATTCAAGATTTTTTTCAATAATTCAATTGTGTACAAAACCACATTTTGTGATTTTGTAAGATTTTCAACTTTGAATTGTTCCACACAAAACTTGGTAACATGTGTTCCTGCAGGATGAGTGACAATTTGTGAACTTTCTTTTTGGTCTGGTTGAATGGTAGCACTCATGAAACAGCACCCATGAATAATCGATTCAATGGCACGTTGCGCTGCTTTTCTGATTCGTGGCTTAGTGTGTATAATAAAAGACAACACTTGATTAAACAATTTCAATGTCAAACCGGCTGACCATGATGCATAATCTTGAGCTCTTAGTAGCACCGAAATACATCCAATTATCTAAAACAGATATTTTTTTTTATTGATATTGTAAGTATTTTATGTTAGATTATTATAACTTACACTTCGCAGCACATTTTGATTTTCATTGTCTGCCAAATGTTCCAGTAATTGCAAGAATATATCACCCGTATCGGCAAATTTTTTCCGTAAAATAGGTTGTGGCACTGATTTTATAACCATTGTTAAAAGCGATAAAGTAGCAATAATTTCGGTTTCTTTTTTTGTTGCTTCTAAAGTTTCCATCTATGAGTATAATTCGAATAAAGCTATATTATAATTATACAATATACCTATGGGAATCACAATAACTCACCAATCCAAGGAAAAATTCTGTTGATGATTGTGTACCATTTCGTTCTTTAATTACTTCCGTTATTGCTGACAGAATTGCAAGCATTTCCTTATGTTGATCTGAAGATTGTTGAAATCTATTCAAGAACCTGTGTATTGAAATCGAAGAATGAGAAAGTTACAAACCAAACAAAAAAATAAACTTATAGAAAAAGTTTCTTACTTATTAAATGTCATATTGGTACATGAACTGTATTGAGAACCAAAAGTTTGAAACGTTTTAGCATAAGATTGGTCATCATGAAGGTCATCATTCAAACTCAATGAATTCAAACTCAAATTCATTGAATTCGCAATATCATTAACAGTTGGTTGAGATTTTGTCGATGCAACTGATTTCGCGATTTTATCATCACCTGTGTATAATTGACGTGCATCATGTTTGGTGACAGCTTCTACAGTTAACGATGTAACTCCATTTGTAGTTGATGGTTTTATATCTAAAAATGAAATTGATTAAAAGATTTTCAGTATACCTTGGTTTTATTTGGACTATCATTAGAATGCAAGTTATTTATTATATGTATTGAAAATATTTTACCCGTATTTAGATTTGGTTGAAAAAAACGTGATCGTGCAGCATTCCGATGTTTCTTATTTTCCGGATTCGATGTGGCTGACTGTCCACGGGCCCATTTTGCTCCTTTTGAGTGTCGTTTTAATTTTGAACGGAACTTGCCCATTTTTATTTTGGTGTCGGTTTATTATTTTCGAAAAATTTCAAAACTGATAGAAAGAATATCTGTGAAACACACGTGAATAAAATAAGGCTATTTTTTGGTTATGTTTAGACTCGTCATACACATGTTTATGTGTAAATATGACAGCTGTCAAATACCTATTTGACTTTATTTTTTGCTTGTCGATTGACATTAACATTTTTTGTTCAATGTCTTGTTTACTCTTTCACAGAGAGAAAATGTGTGAAATCATACCAAATTATTTACTTCAATTATTTATTTATTTTTTATAAATATATTCGAAAAAATTGATTAGATTACAATATATTGTGTAAAAAACTATGCGAATGGATTAAAGTTTCGTTTAAAAGAAAAAAAAGTACAACTTCGAAGCTTATTTGACACCCTGCTTGACGTTTTTCTTTTGTAAGAAATTTTGTTATTTATTTGCACTTTGTTTTGTGCATTCTCTACTTTCATTCGAAAGTCCATTCATCTTGTAAGAATGGCTGACAAATATTGGTGCGATATAGTTTTGAAAATCAGCTGGTAAAAGTGCTTTTTTTAAAATATAAAATGAAAAATAATTTAAAATCATATAAATCTGCTTAAAAGTGAAGTGTAAATGTTTGATTTCAATTTTGACATCCGAGAAATAATAACCATATCTTCATTTCAGTAATTTCATTAAAAAAATAATACCATTTTTAGATCCACAATCTATATTTATTGTTTGCATACAATTGTAAGTTTCTGAATTGAATGATACAGTGTTTTATTTTTTAATTATTAGTAAACGAAACATAAATCAATATTGTGAAATAAGTTGAGAACACTGAAGAAAACATTATAACACGCATTTTAAAATTGTATATAATGATAGTGAAATGATGCAAATTTTTTAAAATGGGGTCTCAAACCGTCGAAATATTACGTCAAGGTGTTTGGGCATCATTAACTGGAGGCTGGTTCTATGACCCCCACCAAAATATCTTTTGCAATGCAATACATTTGTATTTATTCCTTTTCTTACTGTGTACGCCATTTGTTACATATCTCGTAAGTATTCTACAACTCCATTTAAAATTTAGTTCAGAGAATAGAGACAATTTTCAAGAGCGATTTTAATAGTATCGATTCGTATGCACTCACAAATTCTTAAATTTCAGTATTTCTTAAAAACGTTTGCATCATGGAGTGTTTATTGTTTTTCTGCGGCAACAACAATAATTACAGTCAAACTCATCAATCTAATATTGCATACAATGTACGATCAAGCTCAAATCGTCTCTGAAAATAGTTCGAATAAGCCTATAAAAGTACCACAAGAAATATCTGGGTAAGTATTTAGTTTATGTACGATTAAATTTATATATTTCATTTAGATGAAAGTAACGATTTTTACTCAGTGTAAAAATACGTAACGTTTTAAGTCAATTAAGAGATGTAAATGACATAGTTTCAGCCACTTCTACCGTTAAAATAGGATGAAATTCAGGTTATATCATCCATACCCGAATTAAATCTATTTTCGACGATGGGTGACAAGAATTCTATATTTTAATTAACCATTTTTTCTTAGTTTTAGTGATCTGAACCAAGATACTATCAACTTCATAGTAAACTTTTCAACTAATTCTTTGTTCTCTTTTTTTCTTCCATTGGTGACTGAACTGAACACATATGTGGCGCTGATTTCAACCCTAAACATGTGCTATTGGTAATGGATGAATTTACGTTAAAAATTGATTATTGGGCTAGAACTGATGATGGCGGAATCGAAATGCAAATTTTGGCTCCACATGCCATCAAAGATCCAACTTCAATAGCAAATAGCAACAGTAATAATAACAATATTAGTAGCACCAATAACAACAGCAACGAAATGAGTCAAGCGAACAGTGTAATTTCAATCGATTATCCAGTTGAACAAATAACAAGCACAATAGGTAATTCAAAATTCGTAATACTTTGTTTAAATGTATAAAAATATCCATTTTTGAAATTATCTTATTGGCCGATAGATTTGAAAGTTGATGTCCATCGCAAAAATAGTTCCGAATCATCAGATAGTTTGACAGACGTACCATCATTAAATATTGGTAGTGAGATATCAGATCGAAGATCAATAATGAAGACCAAATCTAAATCAGAAGATACATCTACAATGATTTCAGTAGATGCAAACAAAGAACTTCGTCTCGTTGATGAAGGTGATTTATTGTCTCGATCCGAAGAGAGACGAGATAAATTTTTTGATACTGATGGTATGGGATTGAACCGTATTAATGAAAGTAAACGACGAACACGATGTAAATTACAAAGACAAACATCTCTTGATTCGAGCGGAGCAGATTTGAACAGTTTTCCAGTGCGTAGACCTGTATCATCAAATTATTTGCATAGACAACAACATCATGGTAGTGGATTCTACCATCCAAATCATTTGTCATCTCTGGCTCCCGAAATATATTTGGAGCCCCATTTTACAACAAAATCAGAGATGGCCATTGAACGATTTGTGGTGAGTTCGAAAAAAACTCCTATGCGAAAAGATTCAACTTCAACAATGTCAGCCATTCAATTGCCCACAAATTCCGGTCCATCATCTTCAGTAACAACACGACAACGTCGATATTCTAATACAACGGCAAAAACACAACAACAATTAGCATCGGGTCAAATTGTTTCTGTGCGACGAATAAAAAGTACGGCATTGGAAAAATGTTGCCCACAGCCATCATATTCAAATCTGAAACCTCATCCATCCAGCGTGGAAACTATAAATGGTCGACTCTTGCGCAATCAAGTAAATCGTTGTAATAACCAGCATTCAATTCTACCGGCTCCAAGTAAATCGTTAGTTAGGAATCAACATCTGAATTTTTTCCCAAAGGGAACGAATGGAAAATCACAAGGTATAATCATATCCATTCTTTCGATCATGTATCTCCCATGACATGTTGATTAATTTCCATTTTTATTCTCTGATTCAACTCCAGCAACGATCGCGGAAATTGTGGATGAAAAAAGCTTAAACGAAGGCTTTATAATTACATCGGAAAGTGACGATGATGCACAATCGTCCAATGATGATAATAATGAGGACGACGACGAAGATGACGAAGGGGATGATGATGATGATAATGATGATGATGATGATGATGAAAATAATTTTACAATCAAAAACACCCTTTCATCGAAGACGAAATCATTGTCATTCACAGATAGAAGGCACCAAAAGAAAACAGCTGATAGCAGCTCCAATTCAGTGATGAAACATTCTAGTGAGTTGGAAATCGATCGTCCCAGAACACATTCAACAGATTCAGAGAATGAGGTAAATAACGGATCTCAATCTCCATTACTTGACATCAGACCTCGACAAATGGTTTTCAATTCAAACTCATCGCAAAATGAATGTGATAGAATGACAACAAACGCGAAACATGAAAAAAAATCAGAAGAAAAAATTGTAGATCATAATGTTGAAGAAGGAGCAGTAGTTGGAATAAATCCTATATCAATGAGTGTAGCTAAAAGTGAAGATTCTGGTTGTCCAGACACTAGTGATTGTGAACAAACTAGTGCAAGTTCTAAGGACATGCTATTGTCAAAAAAGAATAAATCGTCAGAATGCGAGGGGGTAATTACAGTTAAAAACTACTTTTCCATTATTGAAGCATTGCTTCCCATTTTTTGAATATTTTTCCAAAATGTTTATTAATTTCCATTCTTCCCATTTTTTCTGATTCTCATCCAGTTGGAAAACTGGCATGACTTCAATATGGATGCGAATACAATTTCAGTTGAAGTAACCGACAGAGGGGAAAGTCTTTCGAATGTGACAATAGAAACAACCAATAAAGAAGTACAATCGACAAAAGATGTATCAAAAAGTTTAGGTGCAATACCAAAGACGAGTTTCTCAAGATATGAAACGGCAAAAAGTGATCCAAAAAATCTTAATAGTGATGGTGACAATTATCGTGACCGTATTTTTGAAGATAATAGAGAAAATGCAAATGATAATACGCTGAGTAATGATTCGTCGGCTAATTCCGCTAATTCCCTCAGCGGTGGAAGCTGCAATTCTTCAAATTCATTGAACAAGAATGTTTTACAAATCATGCAACAAACTGAAGATGGACAATTTTTTTTGCAATGTGCATCGCCATCCAATCCATATTTAGTTGCACAACGGGGTCTACCTTCGTTGTTGCCCGTCTATAATACTCGTCCTGAGAATGCTTTTCCAATATCAAGAAAACCTTACCTATATCTTCACCAACAACGTCAGTATCATCCAAAAATGCGTTCTGCGCGTAATCGTATGCAAAATTCATCAATTGATACAACTGCAAGTAGCCGAGTAGACGAAGATGATTCATCTATGTCAGGAGCAGCTGGTGGAAGCGGAAGTATTGGAGTTGGAAGTGGATGGGATGTAAAAATTTCGGAACGGCTCAGTACACTTTTCTTTCCTGAACTAAATGAAAATCAAACAAATGGCACACAATCAACACAAAGATCAACGATCAATCGAATGACATTTGCCGATTCCATGTTCTGGGGTCATTGTAACTTACCTATTGAGAAAAAAGTTCAGCCCAAGCGTTATTACAAATTTCCAATAAAATGTTTTCAGCGTGAAATTAAAATATCTATGGATCGATTGCAATTGTTGGCACTATTTGATCGTGACTATGGAACTTTTCCAACTATAGCATCAATTTTAGTCGGTGTTTGTTGTTCAATATTGGGTGCCATTGTTCTTCAATTCGATTTTTATAAAGACATTTTCGCATTCATCTTTTGTTTTGTGATGGCAGGAAGCCAATATTCATTGTTGAAGAGTGTGCAACCCGATGCATCTTCTAGTACACATGGCGACACGTGCCCGCGATATTCTCGGCCCATTTATTTTTGTATATGTACATCAATATTGATATTGTCACATCATTTAACAACAATTTCGACAAAAGATGCAAATTTTATGCTATTCGGAATACCATTTTCTTCACAAGATTTATTCTATTTTATCCAGGAATGTATGTCGAAAATTTTACTTTTATTTCCGATTCTCTTCAGTTTTGGCTTATTTGCGCAAGTCAATACATTTTTAATGTACGTATTGGAGCAATTTGATATGCACTTGTTTGGAGGGAATGCTGTGTGCAGTTTGATATCAGCATTCTTTGGAATATTTAGATCAATATTGTCATTTTGTTTTTTATACGGATTCGCCTTTGGAGGTTTATCGGAACGATCAACACAACACGTTTTGTTTAGTTGCTTTTGCGCATTACTATGCGCTACTGCATATCATTTATCACGTAGTGCTAGTGATTGTACGTATTTATGGATGATAATCAAATCTAGCTTTATTATTCATCATAATGAAGATGAAGAATTACGAAGAACCACAAAACTCAGCAAAAGTGATAAAGAAAAACTCAGCAGTAAAAAGAACGAAAATTGTAAAATCGAAGGAAATCAAACGGATAACAAAGAAATTAGAAAAGAGTCTAGCGAATCAGTTGTTATTAATTCTGGTTATGAGTCGGAACAAAAAGCAAACCTGATGCCAGAAAATGCAGAAATCTTAGAAAAAGATGAGCTAGAAGATCCATTACCAAAAAAACTTAAAAACACTGTAAATTCGCGTCTTAAAAATGATTTGCTGATTGTATCTGTGGTCAGTTTTATTGTCCTGAGTTTGCATAGTAGTACAGTTTTTACAGCACTTCAGCCTGAATTGAATCCAATTCTACAAAGTTTCGTCATAGTTCTTGGATTTCTTCTACATTATCTCATTCCACAAATGCGAAAGTATTTACCTTGGCTTTGTTTTGCAAAACCTATATTAAAACAAAAAGAGTAAGTTCCAAGGCATACTTACTTAAAAATTACAATTCCATTACTCTACAATTCTGATCCATCCCTTCGATTCTTTTTCCATCATCTCTAGGTATGGAATGTATGAAACGAGTGAAGCAGCAAAGGTGATGTGGTTTGAAAAATTATTCGTGTATTTAACATTTGTTGAGAAAAATATTTTATTACCACTAATATTTATAAGTGCACTTACATCCGACTCAATGCGAATTGTACAAAAATTTGGCGTATCTATTGGTTCAGCTATTGTTGTCTTATGTGGACTGAAAAGTAAGTAGAAATTGACAAATTTACCAATCATTTTCAATATATTTTTTTGATATTTTCATACATATATGTTGATCAAATTTCAATTTTTATTCTTTTCATTTGTGATTCTTCCCTTAAGGTGTACGAAATTCATACTCTGATCCATCGAGTCAATACATCATCATCTTATTTACTGTACTATTTTTCGGAAAAGATTTTAGTTCAGCGAGTGAAACCTTTTTAATTGACTATTTTGTTGTTTCAATCGTATTCAAAAAGACGTGCGAATTTCTTCTTAAGGTATTTTAAATATACAAGTAAAGAGACTTAATGACCGGAAAAATTTAAGAGTTCAAGCTCTCGAGTTTTTGGGTCCGTGAACGTGATCAAATTTCGAATATAGAGGCTTGAAGGATGGTGCTTTTCAGAAATAATATCAGTTTGGTACAAGTGACATATCTTACACTTTGCCGGTCATTATCAAACAGCCTTTTTATTCACTTTTAAATTAATCTGGGCATTTTCTTTCAGCTACAATTTATTGTGACATATATAGCCCCATGGCAAATAACTTGGGGTTCCGCTTTTCATGCTTTCGCGCAACCGTTCTCCGTTCCACACTCAGCAATGCTGTTTCTACAAGCAGTGATTAGCTCGATTTTATCAACCCCATTGATTCCATTTTTGGGATCCGCAATATTTTTAACATCTTACACAAGGTTGAAAAATCAATAATATTTCACACTTTCATTTGATTTTTATAATACCGATATCTTCTGAAAATAGGCCCATAAAATTCTGGGAACGTGATTACAATACAAAAAGAATCGATCATTCAAATACTCGTTTAAGTTCACATTTGGAGCGAGATCTTGGAGCTGACGATAACAATTTAAATAGCATTTTCTATGAACACTTAACACGATCTCTACAACATTCGTTATGTGGAGATTTAGTTTTGGGTCGTTGGGGAAACGTGAGCCAAGGCGATTGTTTTGGTAAAAAAAAATCTTGCAATTTTGAAAAATGTCATCCAACTTGATCATTTCAACTATTTAATTTTCCGTTTATTTATCATTAGTTTTGGCCTCTGACTATTTGAATTGTTTGGTGCACATTATAGAAATTGGAAATAATTTGTGCACGTTTCAAATAAGAGGTCTTGAATTTCGTGGTACATATTGTCAACAACGTGAAGTTGAAGCCATTTCAGAAGGTATGTTATGTTTTATAGTTTACATGAATTCGAAATAATATCAATATGATTGTGTTCAGGTGTTGGAGAGAATGATGGATGCTGTTGTTGTTCTCCGGGTCACATACCAAATTGTTTGAGCATAAATGCAATGTTCAGCACAAGATGGTTGGCTTGGCAAGTAGTTGCTTCTCAATACATACTCGAAGGCTATTCAATTTCAGGTAAATAATTTCTTCGGGATCTTTCTCGAAATATTTATTGTCTGTGATACGTACGTATGCTCTGACAATTGATTGTTTTGATGATGGTTTGATTGATAATTTTTTTTCAGACAACTTGGCACAAGCAACACTACAAGTTTATGAATTTCGAAAAGTTCTTATTACTTACTACATTAAGGTAATAATTAAATAATTACGGATTCATTTTGCATAGACGCATGCCCAAATGAATTTTTCTAGATATTAAAGGCACGGATATATCTATGCAAAACTGATGCAATAAACAAATTGAATATTTAAAGTTTAAAATTATGTAAACATATTTCATTCTTGCAGGCTGTTATCTATTATACAATTCGATCTCCAAAACTTTATAGTTGGTTATCTTCCCCAGCAATAGAGGAGGCATTACAAGCGACACAGGATAGATCATTTGTTGATTTAGATCCAATTTTCAATCACAATTTAGATGAAGACTTTGATTTTCGAGCGTCTGGTATTACTTTAAAATTGCCTTTCTATTATTAATTAATTCTTATTGATTCTTTTTCGATTATTTGTCGATTATTTTAAATTAATTGTATTCTTTTCTTTTGTGATTCTCCCCTTAGGTATCACAAGATCTAGTTTTTGTACTATTTATTTCGATTGGATTCAATTTTGCTATGAAAAGCGACTTGAAGCACACAAACCAAAGCATTCAGAGAAACAAGCTGAGCACCAAAAATCAAAAGTTAAAAGTCAATCACAAAGTCTACATCATAGCCAACCTGAAAATTTGGAAAGTACGTCGAACGCGTCCCCGCGTACATCAAAATCTGATAAAAACTGCGAAAGCAAAGAGCAGACAACACAACCAAGCGAAATAGTAATCAAACATCTCTATAATTATCATTCAAATATATATCAAAATTTCTTTGTTGATTATTTACAGACACAAAAATCGACTTTGATTTCATTATTGTTGGCTTTGAGTCTGTTGGCCCGCCGCACGTTGGCGACTGCGACTCATACACATAGTTCATTATCTGGCGTTGAATTTTTTTTGCATGGACTACATGCTCTATTCAAAGGTGATTATCGCATCACATCAGTTCGAGATGAATGGATTTTTTTCGATATGGATTTATTGCATCAGGTTATTATCATTGTTATTATTTTAAATTTCTTAATCATAGTTTTGGCCCGTTTGGCATTGTTCGCTTGTATAATTTTTTAACCAATTATTAAGTTTTCAAGAAAAATTAATTTTTATCCGCTTTTATACAGAACAATCGTAAACTTATACTATTGACTCAATATAGAATTGAGCACAAACGAACCTGAAAAAGTTTTTTTTATTTCCTACGTCTACTGTCTTTTTTCTCTTCATGCTATAGGTGATTGCACCGAGTGTCAAGATGTCATTGAAACTGCACCAAGATCACTTCCTTAGCCCAGAAGAGTATGAGTTTCCATTACTTCCATTTCCTACTGATTAATTTCTATTATTTCTTTGTGATTCACCCTAGGTATGAGGATCAGGCTACGCTTTATAATGCAATAACAACACATACAAATGAATTAGTTATATCACATGAAGCTGACCCACTTTGGAGAAATGCGATTTTACGTGGCGCTCCACAGTTACTCGCTCTTCGTCATATTTTAGAAGAAGGTTCTGATGAATATCGTTTAATTCGTCTCAGTAAGCGATATTTGAGTTTTCGTGTGATAAAATTAAATCGTGAATGCGTACGTGGTTTGTGGGCCGGTCAACAACAAGAACTTATTTATTTACGTAACCGTAATCCAGAACGAGGAAGTATACAGAATGCAAAACAAGCCTTACGAAATATTATAAACAGTTCGTGTGACAATCCTATTGGTAAATTAATAATAATTTTGAAATTTCTTTAATTTCTCTAAAAAAATTAAATTTAACCATTTATTCTTTTCGTTTCTTTAACATTAGGTTATCCCATTTATGTGTAAGTATATGGTAAGACTTTGCATTCTTATATTTTGATGACCATTTTTTTTTTTGTTTTTTCTTAGTTCACCATTAACAACTTCATATGCTGAGACACATGAACAGTTGTGCCAAATCACAGGAGGTGCAATAACATTTGACAAAATTAAAAATATAGCCTGGAGATTTTGTGAACATGTACGTCAGCGATTCACCGATAGCTGTTCTAGTGGTTCAGCAACTGTTGATACAGAAATGGGTGATATCGGTGTTTACTATGCACCAACTAATACAACAAATAACACCATGTCAGCTAATACAGGAACTTTATCCTATGGAAGTCAAAGCCTTTCTCTTTCTGCTGGTAATCGTGGAAGTATGGCTAGTATGGGAAATTTTGGAAAACCAAATAACTCAACTTTACTTGCTGGATTTTTAAATCGTGAACGTGAACAAGAAAGAGAGAGTGTAAATTCAGATCGTTCTGCTGTCGGTGTATATAGAAAACGAAGTACAATTACTAAATCAGAACAAGATCGTCGAGCGACATTCCCAAGCAGTAGCCCAGAAAATTTGGGAACATCATTATCAGGTATTAAACCAGTAAACATTAGTCCAGAGACATCAATTATGAGTGCTTTGTCGTCACCAAATCCAATGAGCTCAAGAGCATATCGACCAAATAGCTCATTTTCATCGGGAAATTTAAGCCGCAACACAAATCACAAATCACTGATCATAGCAGAGCGCAAATCAAAGTCCGAAGAGCGTCAAAGCAACAACGATGCTTTTGATGTCACAATGGCTGAAACAAAAGGAGTTTTACTTAGCACATCAATATCACTACCATCAACTACTCACACATCTGCTATTCTTTTGGATACTCTACCAAAATTTTCGAATGCGTCAACTAGTTTAATGACTTCATCTAGTAGTAGTTCAATCTTGCCGAGTCCACCAAAAATTCCACTTAATCGCAAAGTAAAAATTATCAACTCTTTGGAAATATACGATTGCTTAGATTTGGGAAGAAGAATTGACGTACTATGGCCGAGTGAATGTATGCGATTAGCAGGTGGTAGATCGTCATGGAAAAAATCCTCATGGGAACCGACAGAGGGTAAATTTTATTATTATTATAACATTAAAAAAAATTGTATAAAAATGTTTACTCGTTTTTACACTAGGCATGGTAGGATATATAGTGCACTTTTGGCAACCTCAACACGTTGACAAACGATTTCGCTCCAATTTCAATCGAACGCTATTTTTGGTTCAGATTGGTGAGCATTTTGTTCCAGTCGGCGAAAATGGAATTGAAGAATATAATTCCAAATGTATTCGAAATGCATCAACATTCGAAGTTAAGCTACCAACAGAAAATGAAAACGATTCAGATACAAATCTAGATGAAATCGATAAAAGTGATGAAAAAGACTAAAAGTTTTGAAAAAATGTCAAAATACTTCAACGAACAAAATTAAAGCATTTATTTTTAGCTTAACGAAGTCATTTCCCGAAGATAATTATTTGAATCTGAAATGTTAATAAAAATAAAAACCTACAAAACTGTTTTATTTTCACTGTTTTACAGTTATAGTAATTTTACTTTTTCACACACTGGTGTGTAAGGGGAAAGTATTGCAATGGCTCAAAATTTACCACACCTAAAATACATATGTTTTTGGACATATTTTTTCTGAACGTTTCCGAGGTCAGAGAACCCAAATAGGCCTATGAGAAAGAATCCAATTTTCTTCCAAAAGTAGTTATGTGTACTCAAAAATATGTATTGGGCACAAGAAAAATTCCGAATCTGATATTAGTTTTGCGATACAAATAGTTTTCGACACACTATTCACATAAAAGTCACAAAAAATGTCGATTTTTGAATGAAAACCATGTCTTTATGGTATTGTACTGACGTGAAACTTGAACCAGGTTTTTTTTTAAAAAAGGAGAGTTTGAAGAAATTTAAATGAAAATTAAGGGTACCTCCCATACAAAATTTTCGTTTTTGAGCAAAAATCGATTTTCCGAATAACCTGTGCAAAGTTTCACGTCCTTACTGTCGTACATACAGGCATGATTTCCATACAAAAATCCACTTGTTTTTATAGCGTTTTGTTAGAAAATAGAACACTATCAAATGTCATACAAATGGATTCATTACGAAAGTGTGAAAAATATTATTTTGAAATACAGCTTGTAGCCTAATAAAATACGCATGTACCACCGTGCGGAAAAGTTTCTCTAATTCTGTAAGACTCTTTATTTTTTCGTTGATTTGCAATAACTTCAATAGAATGCCTTTTGACGGGCAATCAGGTGGTACTTCGCCATCAGCACCATGGAATAACAGAGTCGGTTCCTTATTGGTGATCTTGTTCACAAATCCGTCGATAACTTTGTTGCTCCCAATGTATTTGTCCAAGGCGAGTCTAGTGTACTTTGCAGTCGAGTAAGCTTCGATTCCATGTTTGGTCATCTTAACTCGATGCTTAATATAGCTCAGCCACTGTGAACCTTTTGGTGATGGCATCATTGCGTACAGCTCACGATTCTCTCGATCTTGTCTTTCTTTCTCGATGAAATTTTTCGTGAATCGCTTCGCTTTTGCGTTTCGTACGTTTTGATGTGTCTCCCAATGGAACTGCTTGCTCTTTTTAACAAAGTTGATCTGCGAATAAATCGAAAAAAAAAACAAAAATAATTAGTGAACTTAAACACAATGTGCATCATTGTATTTGAGTATACAACACATACTTCTTTGCAAGTATCAATTTCATGTATTGTTATGGTATTCCAGTTCCGCATGCCTGAATCTGTACCTCCCAATCTTTTGAATTTGCCCGCCTTCAACATGTCAATGATGTCCAATCGACTGGTGCCCGATTGTGTGTTGCTGGTCTCCTTCTTTTTGGTGGAATACTGCAGAGACACAGCAATTCCATCGCTGTTTATCGAAAAGTCAAATTTCTTTTTGCGGCGGACAAACCACCGAATTTTACGCATATAAAAATACTGATTCCATATGTAATCTTTATTCTCGTTGAAAACCTTTTGTGAAATATTTTTGTCACTTGGTTTTCCGTCTTCAGTTAACTGTTTCGGAATCAATTTTTGAGAAGACAAGATCTGATACATACTCGAACAGTCGATTTTGAAATGCGTACGCCGAAAATCACACATCGGAACTACCACCAAATTGCGAATGCACGGTAGATATTCCAAATCGTCGAGCATTTGTTTTCGTTTGATGATCCACTGTCGTTTCTTACCCTTCGGTCTTCTGCGCTTTCTCTTTTTGCGTTTCTTCGGTGGCTCTTGATGTGCTCGCAGCAAATTAAATTCTTCTATCTCGCGTTGCATAGATAGATACATCGGCACAGCTTTGAACCAATTTTTTGAATTGGTCGTGAGATCATGTAGGTCGATTTCCGGGAACACATTCAACTTATTGACGATGTCATACAAAACTCCGTACCGATAAAGTTTATTTGGGTCACTAGCTGGCACTTTGATGACCTTTTTCAATGAAACAAGGGAAATAGATTAAAGTCATGT